TATATATATATATATAGAATATCAAATTTTCTCACACAAATTGTCTCTTAATTAAGTAGCAGAGTAATTAGCAGTAGTAATATAGAATATTCCATGATAAATCCAGTTTCACAAGAAAAAATTTGGAAGAAACCAAGAAAAGAAAAATATTCTAACATATAAACAAAGGTTACCAATCTTGTCGTCTTCTCGAGTCGAGGGTCTCCTGGAAACAGCATCTCTGCCCTCGGGGTAGGGGTAAGGTCTGCGTACACATTACCCTCCCCAAACCTCACTAGTGGGATTACACTGGGTCGTTGTTGTTGTATAAACAAAGGTTACTAACTCGAACATCTCTCTAATTTACAAAGATAAAAATTTACCCGCACCGGGTGTTTACATCTGACTAATAAATATTTACCACATGGCACTTTATTTAACTGCAACTATTAGTGATTAACTATCGTATATTTTGCACATTATATTAGACTCTTAAAAGAATTAACATCTAAAGGCAACTAAATAACGGCAATTTATTTCACGCGGGTTTGGTTATGTTTTCGTTCATTCTGTTATGCTCATGATATCTTGATGCATACTCAGTTATCCACATACTCTTGGAGTTTCCAGTAGTTAAAACTTTCCCTTGAAATATTAAATCTCATTAAAATCATGTGCCACTAAACTCTATCATTACCAGAATGAATATGAAATTACGGCCATTCTAAGATTAGTTGACTATGAATTTATCATCATATTCATTTATCATAGTTCTATTTCATTTTCAATACCCTAACGTCAATCTAGTTAAGATTATGATAAGTGATAGGCGGCCAATACTCCACTTGAATATAACAACCAGAAATTTGCAATAACGGTTTGATTTTGGTAAGATGAGAATGTGTGCAACTAGTAGTTAGAAGGATGAAATCATTCAAATCGAGGAATTTTTCTGGCGAAAAGCTTAAAATACATCTTCATTCACAAACTCGACATTGTTATATTAGTCTATTTATTTTAGCATGACTTAGTACTTTTAGATTATGTTTGTTTTTATTATGACTTTTTTAATTAGCAATATTTATATTATATAATTTTATTGTCTTTATTGTTGAATATTTTAGGATAATGCCATGACACATCTCATATTTCTTATTATTTTCTTGAAAATACTTTATATAGTTGTATCTTACTAGGATTAAAGAAGTATTTTGAGCATACGTTATATGTTTTGTTATACGAAGATTTTATCGAAAAAAAACCGAAAAAACCCGAGAAAAATCGAGATTGAAAAACCCGAGTTTTATTGGTTTGGTTTGGTCTTTAGATTTAATAACCCGAAAAAATTGGTTTGGTTTGGTAATTGTAAAATCCGAACTAACCCGACCCCTACTCTATCAATTTAATTTTTTCCATGCGGTAGTACTTATTGTCGAGTTTTTCCCCCATCGGATTTATTTGACAAGGAATAATGTGGTTCATGCTTTTTCATTTTTTTTTAAGTTAAGCCCCAAAACTGTAGTAATACTCATTTATGTTTCTTCCTGTATTATGTGCAGATATCTGATCAAGCATCTTAAACCAAACTTTTTAAAGTTCTTAAGTGCAACATTTATCATCAAGAACCAAACTATAAACTGAGAAACCTATTATTGTTGCACTCATGGTCTCTTGATAAATCTTTCAATGCTTATTTGAATGTGAACCAGGACTTGAAAGCTAATATATTCAACTCTATTTGTCAAGAACAATAGTGTAATGTGATTGTTGTAATTTTGCTGCTTGGACACAGTTAACATTTGAATCCCTCTAAAATTCCTTTCAAGTCAATTTAGTATTTGANAACACCTAACTTTTTAGTTCTCATTTTTTATGAGCAGATTCCTAGATATTGCTCAGAATGCATTAGCCATTAATTTTATTTTATTTTCCTTTCCCATGTCCACCTTTTGTTTTTTCTCTAGGAGTTCCTTGTGTGGATGATCTTTTATCAAAGTTGGATTCTCTTTTTCATGCAGGTGGTTGGACAATTGTCCTTATTGCTTGCTCAATCTCCCAAGCTACACAAATACTGATCTTACACTTGCTCACCGTGTTTATTGTAGTTGGTAAATATCTTAATTATGATATTTACTTGCTTTTGTTTGCCCTCTAATATACTATTTATATGCCTATCACCTCTGTTGAGTTCAAAATTGAGTAGTGTGCAGTTAATAGTAGTAATCACAATAAAACAGTCATATATTCTTCGACGGAGATATAATTTCTAAATTTTACTGTTGTAAATACATAAAAAGTTATGGTGACCATGAGTTTTTTCATTTTTTTTTTTATATTTTGTTGTTTATATGTGTATCATTTTCTCATTTTATGACTTATGATCTTTAACTATGTTTCTCTTCATAGTTTGAGCGTATAATCATAGTTACTTCATCAAATTACTTAGGTTTTTCTTTCAAGCGTTCTTCTTTTCTGATCTTCAGCTTAGGCTTTGTTTGTAGAGTGAAAATATATATGTACTCTCTGGCAATTAGGGGAATTGCATTTGCTTCGCTTCATCGGAACAACATATAATTTCATAAATTCTACTTACAGTCTTTAAAGTCAGAGGCGGATCCAGGATGTTTGAAGGATGGGTTCACTATTACTTTTTAAAAAAAAAATTAAACCAAAAAGTTGGTAAGAGATTTGATCCCCTGACCTTAGGTTATTGGAAATAAGAGACCAAAACCAGTGCACCACTTAGTCTCTTTTGACCATGGGTTCCATCAAGTATATATATCTATCTTTTCCAAATTATGTACATCATATCCATACTTTAACCCGAGGACCACGGGTTCACGTGAACCATGTTTCACATGGTAAATCCGCCTCTGTTTAGAGTTATAATTTGCTTCAATTTGATNCTGTTTAGAGTTATAATTTGCTTTAATTTGATCAAGTAAAATTTATTCCCTTTGGTTGATTAAAATTTTATAATCTTTATTCAAAAAATTTATATTTTATACTGGAAAAATATTATAAGGTGTAATTACCTTATAAGAGAATAGACTCCCAGACGTTCACATGTGAAAATTTTACTTTTTTAAGTACTGTTTTGTTTCTCCTCCCTCCTATTTAAAGTCCTTTTTGTAAGAAGTTTTTTTTCCCTCTCTGATGCTTGCATTGTAATTTATGTTTATGTTCAGAATCTCATGATTCTATTCCTTATATTTGTGTTACTTAAATATTTAATCAAAAAAAAAATAAAAATTCTCATAGCATATATTATTAGCTTCTTTAATATTTTAATTCATGAGTTTCCACTACTAAGATTTTCCTCCTCCAATTTCTTCGCCCTTCTCTCTTTAGTGATTTTGTCGGTTCATTACTTTAATATTTTTCTGTTGTCTTTGAATTCCTTTTTAGGATGGTGGATAGCGGGATCGATCTCTGATTCGTGATACTTATCCGTTCAAAGTGTGAGGAAGATCGATGGAGTTGAATGCGACAACTCTAAGAAAGGATTTAGTACTTTAATATGTCCGTGATTGTTTTGAGTATTATTTAGCTTATGCAAACTCCTTTCGCTCTCCGTTGTATCTTTGTTGATTCGCGACTTTTGCCTTTGCATTATTCTTCTTATAATATAGCTAATGACCTGAAGATTTAGAAATTGCCTTTCCTCTATTCTGATCCATCTTCTATTAATAAATTTTCTTGGCGTCAAGTGTTTATCATTCGGAAAATCTACTCAAACCCTATGTTAGAAAAATGGTATAAGCATAACTTTGTATAGTTTTGTCATGTAAAATACCTCATTTGGCCATGTAAAGATACAGTGGCCAACTGCGAATAAGGCTGGATGTTAACCTCAATAAATAGTCATACTACAAAAAAAAAAAAAAGGAAAATACGAAAAATAGTCCTTAGCTTATGAAATTTTTTGCTTTTAGAAATCGATAAAAGCTTAAGGGGTACGACAATAATACATGTATGGAATGGGAAAGCATGGAAGAAATAGAAAGAGAAATGAAAGAGGAGAAAGTTCAAAACTAACAAAGTATAACATCGGCATTATAGACAATAATTGTACTGTTAGGAGAAAAAGAATACTTATTGTTTATGCTCTCTTTTATGAATGCTTCAAAAGGAATACTGTTGTTATTTAATACATATGTTTGACATCTCCTATAAATTGACTAAAATTTTAACCTAGTTTCTTAAATAAATGTGGGACTTGGACCAAGTCAAATGATTAAGCGTTTACGAATAAAATGTTGGTTGTGGGACCGACCATAGAAATGATTAAGACAAGCAACGTTTGCTGGAATACAGCCTAGGAAAAAAGAATCCTCCAACGGCTCTAACATGCCATGCGGTCTGCGGTGCGGTGTCACCCAACAAATTAAATTGACCGTTTTGGGCCCCACGCATACTTTGAGATTTTCAAAAAAATATATAACCGTTGGAAAACCCCTCTTCGCTTCTCATCCCAAATACCTCGACAGAGCCATTGTGAGAATTGACAGAGAGCAGCTCATTCAAGTCCCTAAGGTGAATTTTAACTTCTCTCTTTCTTTTCCCTTAATTATCAGAAGTTTGCTAGTCATTTTTTCCTTTTCAATTTACAGTTTTTTCTCACTATTTGTTGTTGAATTTGCTGATTTGTTAAACGGATATGTTTACAGTAGGGAGTAGGAAATTATCATGTCACGTTTCAATTTTCTGCTTCTGAATGAAATCACAGGAGCTGCTTCTTTGTTTTTTAGAACAATTTGTAGTAAGAAAAATTTGTGACATTTTCTTTATCTTTTACAGTGGTTTAGAAGGTTGTTGACGAGATTCAGCTAGATTGTCATAAAAAATGCCATTTTCTACCATCATGAATAAGTTTTTGTTTTTTGTTGGGACTTTACAGAGGAGTATTTCCCACAAATTTCAACTACACCTTGTTAGAGATTCTTATGCTAGTAGGAGATATTGAGAACTTCTAGTATTTTTATTTTATAGCATTTAGCTTGAGATGGATTTAAATGGGGAACATGATTAGTCAGGATTTATATAGCCAATCCCAACTTGTTTGGGACCGAGACATAGTTGTTGTATTATGAGTACTTTTTTGGCTATTTTTAGGGCATTTGATTGGGGTCCCAAATTTTCTCACACTTTCTTTAATTTTCAGCTGTTTAGGAGGTGACTGCCAAGATCCAATACTTTGTGTTATTTATCAATCAAACATGACAGTAGAGGTACAATCTGAGGCAACTCAAGTAGCTGAGGTAGTTGTTCCAAAAGAAGAATTAGAGGCTAAGAAGATTGTTGAGGAGGTTGAGAATGAGAAAGTAAAAGAAGAAGAGGAGGAGGAGACCAAACCAAAGGCAATAGAGAAGAGCTCTTCTTATAGAGAAGAGAGCAACTTTCTCTCTGATCTCAAGGAGAATGAAAAGAAGGCTTTGAATGATCTCAAATCAAAACTCGAGGAGGCCATTCTTGGTAACACTCTCTTCAAAAAAGAAGAGAGTGCCACCAAAAAGTCTCCAGAGAAATCACCATCAGGTGAGGAGGAAGAAAAGAAAGATGATGAGAACAAGGTTGAGGAGAAAGTAGAAGAGGAAGAGACAAAGAATGAGGAAAATTGCGATACAAATGGCGAGAATAAAGAGGAGAAAGAGAGTGAGGAGGAGGGGGCTGATTTAGATGTTGATGGAGTGGATAAAGTGATCTCCATTTGGGGGGTACCACTATTGCCTAGCAAAGGGGATGAGAGAACCAATGTGGTTCTTTTGAAATTCTTGAGAGCAAGGGATTACAAAGTGAATGAATCTTTCGAAATGCTCAAAAAAACACTCCAATGGAGGAAGGATTTTAAGATCCAATCAATCTTGGATGAAGATTTAGGGTCAGATCTTGCTCCAACTGCTTACATGAGTGGAACTGATAACCAAGGCCACCCTATTTGTTACAACATTTTTGGAGTTTTGGATGATCAAGAGCTGTATAGCAAGACATTCGGGACGGAGGAGAAGCGTAAGCAGTTCTTGAGATGGAGAGTGCAGTTAATGGAGAAGGGTATTCAACAGCTTGATTTCAAGGCTGGAGGTGTCAGTTCACTGCTTCAGATTAATGATCTGAAGAACTCCCCTGGACCTTCCAAGAAAGAGGTCAGGGTTGCTACAAAACAGGCTGTTGATCTTCTTCAGGATAACTATCCTGAATTTGTTGCCAAAAATGTGAGTATTCTGTTTTATTTTCCTTGTTTTTACTTTCAGTTAGTGAGTTCTTAGAATAAAGTGCAAGCATATATAACTGTGAACTATGTTGGTCGGACTCTCTGAAATTATTGTTACGTGTCGGATCCTCCAAAAATAGTACATTAATATAGGTTGTGAAAATATAAATTGCTAATGAAAATATTACTATAAATCTTATGTGTATTGGTCTGACCATTTCACCTGTTTGTCTTCTTCAGATATTCATCAATGTTCCATTTTGGTATTATGCTTTCCAGTCATTGCTCTCTCCTTTCCTAACTCAAAGAACCAAAAGCAAATTTGTTTTTGCTCGTCCTGCCAAGGTCACTGAGACCTTGCTCAAGTAAGCTCCTTATTTCCAATTCTTTAAACTTCTAACGAGTTCAGTTTAAGTAGCACTTTTAGTCCCTGAATGCGAAAGTTTTATTTTTTAGTCCATTGGTTGCTACTGCTGAACTGTTTGGGTTGAGCAGGTACATTCCAATCCAAGAAATCCCAATTCAATATGGTGGACTCAAGAGGGAGAATGACTTTGAGTTTTCAGTCTCGGACTGTGAAGCTTCAGAAATGCTCCTTAAAGCTGGATCAACTGAAACCATTGAAATACCTGCAGCAGAGGTAACTTTGGGAATGAAATGTTGGTTATGTTGAGACTTTATCTTTCCCTTCTATATATGGTGATGCTGCATTTCTTTTGGCACTTAAATTTCTATTAAAATTATGTCAGGTGGGAAGTACATTTACCTGGGATGTTACCATTGTGGGCGGGGAAGTGAGCTATAAGGAAGAATTTGTGCCAGAGGATGAAAATTCTTACACAATTATAATTCAGAAGGAGAAGAAGTTGAGCTCGTCAATTCGCAACACATTCAAGAACAATGAAGCGGGAAAGATTGTGCTGACAATTAAGAACACTTCTAGCAAGAAGAAAAAGGCGTTTTACCGACACAAGATCAAGAAATCAGCAATTTAAGATCACAAATATCTGTTTTGAGTGAAGATGAAGATAGAGTTTTATTTCAGTTTTTTTTTTTCCAGCAGTATAACTTTTTTTGTGGTTCATATCTTATTATTCTTTTGGCCCAATATTCATATTGTATATGTTGATTTATTCATTTTTCTCCCTATAAGGAACATGATCTCTGGATTTTTTAACCCATCTTTTTTATTGGTGTTGAGTTGGGATGGTCCACTGATGCTTACCCTCACCTCTTTTATCAATTGGTGCAATTTTCAGAAAAGATGCATATCCTAAATTACAATGTCTATGAACTATTGAATCAACAAAATTATAATAATCATCCGTTCTATTATTACTATTTAAAGAGTTATATTTTTCTGTTTGTGGGTGACAAGAAGTAAAATACAAGACTTGGTTCCATACCATGACCATATAAATCTTAAAGTATATACAAATCGACCAAAAACGCTTAAAGACTCGGCCAAAATTAAAATCACTAGCATACAAATTTTATGTGACCAAAACCTTCCAACTTAGCATTTAACACATCAATCAAGGCATTAATATTTCATAAATAGAGATCGGCAATCACATTATCTTTTCCTGGTGTGTGTAGCGGATAAACGTACGGAATTGGTTTTATGAGCATGCCTTTTGTTCAGCTTATACAGGCTTTCATGATAAACTATCCTTGTTAGTTTGGGTCTTGGGTCGCTTTATGTGGGCTGGCTTGACTGTCATGACATGAGAAATGCAAATAAATGAAAATGTAGCCAAGGGAGCTCGAAGCTGAGAGGAGAAGTACATGAATAACTAACACTGAATCAACGGTCGTGATTGATTTTTATAATATGCTTCAAGGGCTCAGATGTTGCCAGCTGGACGAGTTTGTTATAAAGCTCAACAAACTAGTTGAGCAGGGTGATTTTTGAACCAACGGGAATTTTTCCAATTCTCTCACTCTTCTCTTCATCTCTTTCTCTTCCTTTCTCTTGTAATTCTGCTTTTACAGATCTATAACCCAGCTATGAGATTCTGATTAGCTTAGTTTCTTTAGTTCTTTTTCATTTCGCTTAGTAGTTTGTAATCGCCGTTGTTTCAATTTCAATATAAACAGAAAATTGTCCCAAAATTTGAGTGAATTTCTTAATTAATCAATTGAGATCCTGACATTTGGTATCAGAGCCATCGAGCCTACAACCTGTGGATTAAACGATGGTGGATGGTACGAGGATGCAAACTATGGATGCCAAGATTACTTAACACGAGGAGGTGCTAGCTGGGTTAACTGCCGGGCAACAGAACTTACAGCAGACAAAAATGGGCGTTCAAGAAACCTTGGAATTGATATTGGACAAACTAAATGGAGGAGAGTTGCTTCCTCTTCCCGTGCAGGAGGCTAGGCCAAATAGACAAGCTGGATTTTCAGTCCCACCTCCTAAATGGGAATTGCCTAGTTTTGAAGGCAAGGAACCCAAGGTATGGCTTCCAAAATGCGATCGATATTTTAATTTGTATAAGACTGCTGAGAATTCTAAAGTTGAAGCTGTTGCTCTTTATTATTTGAATGGCTTAGCCGAAGTGTGGTTTAATTCCTTAACTGTGATCAAAGGGGTTGTGATTTGGGAGTGATTTAAGGCGGAATTGTGTCTTAGGTTTGGTGAGACTTTGATGGAGGATGTTATAGAAGAGTTTAATAAACTCCAACAGAAAGGGTCAGTTGAGGAGTTTCTGGGAAAATTTGAGGAACTCAAGGCCCATATGGGCCGTCAAGGCCTCTGACATACTGTACATAATAAACCTGTATCTACAAAGCCTCTAAGATTACTTGACATCAAATGGGACAGGGTATTGGCCTACCCATAAGTCTGTAGCAAAGCTCTGACACGATGAGTCATAGACTCGGCTGCACTCCGAATGAGGTGGAGTCTTACCGATCTTTCGCTGAATGCTGACCTCGTCTACTATAAGGGCTCATCAAATTGATTATCTATACCCGCAGGCATGAATGTAGCGTCCCCAATAAAAGGATGCCAGTATGAATAATGTACTGAGTATGTAAGGCAGAACTGAAACGCAACAACAAGTCAACATTAATTAAAGACATATAAGAATCAACTTGAATCTCTGAAGTGCCACCTTATATGCATACTTATCATACTTACATATATAATGCTTCACTTTGAGACTATTTCTATTATCCATATCGTATGATGCATGACCGTCCAACTGATTAGTGGTAACCACCCGACCGGCCGTTGCACAGTGGTAATTGTATGACTGCCCAACCGGTGGTAAATAATAATACATAACTGCCCAACTGGTAGTAACTGTCCGACCGACCGTAGCCCGGTGGTAAATACATGTCTGCCTAAGCGGCCGTAGCATGATGGTAAATGAAGATGCATGACTGCCCAACCTGCCATAGCACGATGGTAAATATATAGCTGCCCAACCGGCCATAGCACGATAGTAAATGAAGATGCATGACTTGCCAACCGGCCGTAGCTCGGTGGTAAATGTATATGCATGAAGATGCATATATCACTGTATTATAAACATTAACATCTTTATCAAATACCTCAAATCCTCAATAGGAAACTAGATACATACTTAGACATGCTTGAATATCACTTTACGGGAATGAATAACATAGACATCCTTAACCGCTAAGAGTAGAACCACTTATGAAATAGCATTACGTTTACGTAACGTTAGGTGGATCATGCCAAAAGAAAGAAGAGATAGCCTTAACATACCTAAGATGATTCTCTTGTTAATCCCTCTAATACACGCCTTTTGCGAAAATATGTAATGACGGATCGAAGTAGGAAAAACTTGTAACACCCATAGTTTCATCTCATTTTGACAAACTTACATGCTATAGCGTCCGTATTATACTCTTCAACACAAAATCAAATACTAGTTGTAACATCTTACCACAAAAACATGTGATAGAAAGTCCAAATTCATCGGCTATGGACACAATTCACGTACCATTTAAGGGAAAATAACACAAGAATTAGAAGAGCAACAACAACAACAACATCGACCCAGTATAATCCCACAAGTGGGGTCTGGGGAGGGTAATATGTACGCAGACCTTACCCCTACCCCGAAGGGTAGAGAAGCTGTTTCCAGGAGACCCTCAGCTCAAAAAAGCAACAGGAGACATTATATTAGTACCATAAAAATGCATAATAAAATAACAACAATATAAGTGTCACGACCCAAAATCCCAACCCGGTCGTGATGGCTCCTCTCGTGCGGACAAGGCCAGCCAACAACAAAACAATACATCTCTTTATAATTACTTAGCAGGAATAAGTCTAATTCGCAGATAATATAATCACAAGTGCGAAGTAAACATGATAGAATAATGGAAACCATCTCGACTCAATCCGAAATCGGGGTGTCACAAGCCACGAGCATCTAAAGATCTAAATACTAATACAAGACCAGCAATATACAGAATGGAATTTAGAATCAATGAAGAAATACAGTGCCGTGAACGCTGACTGTCACCTTGCTCAGCTACAATAGTATACCTTCAGTCCGCTAATAACCCGTGTGAGTACGTGATTTTCGCCCTATATGAGAATCACTCCCAAAAATTCAAAATAAAACAATTTTCCTTTGTGTGCAATGTTTTTATTTTTGTGGTATTTTTGTATAATCATTTGTATTTTTGTCTGTGCATGTTTATTTGTTTAAATTAATAAAAATATAAAATATGTCGCATTTTCATTTAGTATTTATTTAATTTTGTTTTACAAAAATGAGAAATTATAAAAAAATAAATGTACGTTGCATTTTTAGCATTTAAACGTCTAACTTGTGCGATTTTGTCGTTAATTGCTCTCTAAATGTGCGATAATTATTTTTAGAGTTAATTAGTTTTTTTATAAGATAATTTATTTTATAATTTAATTTAGAATTTTAGTTTTATTAATTAGGAAGTAAAAGAAAAGAGAGCAAAAAATACAAAGAAAATCAGATTGGGCCTTTTCTTCAATTTTAAGTCATAGGCCCAAAGAGACCCAATCTTCCCAAACGATCCGGTCCATTTCAAACCGGGTCGACCCAGTCCATAACCCAACACCCCTATTTCCCTATCTTTTTAAAAAAAAACCATAACATTCTTTTCTTTCACTGTTGAAGCCCGCCCCCCTCTCTTTCCTTCTTCTTCCTCAAGCTCCAAGCAAGCCATCAATGGCTACCCTCTTCACCATCTCCACACACACACACCCCCTCACCTCGTCACACTCTCACACTCTCACACACACACACGTCAACACATACACACACATACACAATGGAAAACACACACATGCTGCAGCCGTTCATGGCTGCTGCTTCTTCTTCGTTCTTCGTCCAAACGACCAAACGACCCTACTGTCATCGCGCAGCTGCTGCTCCGTCCAGCCAGTCACACACAGTCCGTCGCATCGTCGACCACCTTCGATGTTTCTTCGTCTCCGAGCAGCCATGAACGAGCTCGAGCTCAAGCTTTCATGGTTGCCGACTTCGACCATGGCTTCGTCCAAACGAGCATCGTCGCTGCCACCAGTTGAGCAGCGTTGCTATTGCTGCTTCGCCCACCTGTTGCTGCTCCAACGAACTACTGCTTCCATGTCGGACGACAGCATGAATTCATGCCGCTACTACTGTTTCGTGTTGCTGCTACAGTTGAGCAGCGTTGCTAACTGCTTCGTTGCTGCTGCTGCTTCGCCCTTCATCCTCGTCAGTTTGATTATAGCTCGAGCTCGAGCTCTCATGGCTGCTGCTCGTCGTTCCTCAATTTCAATCCGTCGAGGTCGTCGTTTGTCGTTTTGAGTTCGTCGAGTTTAAAAGGAAGGTGGGTTTCGTTGAAGTCGAGATCCGTTAGGTCATTGGCAGACTTGGCTCGAGTTCATCGTCATTCTGATCCGGTTAGTTGGTTTAAGTTTCGTTTCTGTCTGTAATTTGTTTGATATTTTTCGGATTTGAAATCAAATATGTTTGATATTAACTTCATGTTCATTGTTTTTTTTTATTTTCTTCAGTTTGTTTCATTCATTTTTCTTGTTTATTTTAGGTATAAATTGATTAGTTAATTATAATGTTGCTAGATTTAAATTGAATATTCCTTTGATTATTTTTCAGTTTGTTTTATTAATTTAAAAGGATTTAATGTTAATATAAAAG